CCCTTGCGCGTGTTTAACCTGCTCTAGCTCCAAAACTACAACACCTACACTCTTCAAATCTGGACTAGATTATTCTACACTAATAGTGAAATATGTAAAACTAAGTTTGAGCTTTGGGAAACCTTTGTCTGATTTTTGAAACATCAATAAAGTTTGTTTTTCATCATTTTATAGGCAACTGGACCACATTAGATCTGGTCCAGCCCAAAAACCACAAAACCTGGACTCTTCAAACCAGGACTAGATTATTCTACACTAAAAGAAGAAGAATAAAAACTAAGTTTGAGCGTTAGGCAACTTTGGTCCAGATGCCTGAAAAATGATGATAAACAAACTTTATTGATGTTTCACAAATCAGACAAAGGTTTCCCAAAGCTCAAACTTAGTTTTACATATTTCACTATTAGTGTAGAATAATCTAGTCCTGGTTTGAAGAGTCCAGGTGTTGTGGTTTTTGAGTTGGACCAGGTCTAATGTGGTCCAGTTGCATAAAAACGATGAAAATCCAACTTTGTTGAAGTTTCACAAATCAGACAAAGCTTTCCCAAATCCCAAACGTGTTTTTAAATATTCTTCTATTAGTGTAGAATAATCTCGTCCAGATTTGAAGAGTGTAGGTGTTGTAGTTTTTGAGCTAGAACAGGTTAAACACGAGCAAGGGAGTGAAAAATTAGTTGTAATATCCCTTTAGTCATTTCCCGATTTAAACATTTTACTCGTATAATCCACAAAACGTGGAACGTCATTTGTTTAGGTTTTAAAACCTGTCCTAATGTGTGTGTTWTACGAACATTTTTTCAAAAATAAAACCGCTTTCTTGCTACAGTTTGAAATCATTTTATAAATGGACAAAGTGTGTTTTGATCAATGCCTAAAAAGTAACACACAAACACACAAAGCAGCGCACACATGTAGCTACTACCACGTCAAATTTTATCTCCATACATGCTAAACTAACCAAGTTATTGCCATTATTGTTTCGGTTACTCTCAGTTGGCTGTGGCGGCCATCTTAAAGTCAGTTGACTTTGAAAGTTGACCAGTCGTAGAGCTATATTTAATGATTAACTTGTGAAAGTTTCAAAAAAATCCATTCAGTTTTTCATGAGATATTTTGCTAACAGACATAAAACAGGGTTGAMTCCAAACGTTAATGCTGAAGTTTAAGGCAACACTCTCACACAATGAGCAACACTTGGATCACGTGTTTATTACCAATCTCAGCAGCTGCCGTGCCAAATTTGAGCTCGAAACATGTAAAACGGACCGAGCTTTAACCACTTTGATGTTCTACTTTCAGTGTCTGYGGCAGCCATATTAAACAGGGTTGACTCCAAACGTTAATCAATTGTAGATGTGYATCCAGTAAATAATTTCTGCAAATTCCTTTAAAATGTGCCCAAGGATACATGAAATATTTTGCTAACAGACAGACACAAATGCACTTAATAGAGGCCAATAACAATTATCTGGAACAATATGGCTGAGGCACGGCTTGAGGAGCGTCCTCAGCCATATTGTTGCAGCTTTTAAATAAGCTTACTGTTTGAGTCAAAGGGATTAACGCCCTCAGGAGTCTCTCCACGTTTAGAAACCGTTACGTTAACGAAGCTGTGGTGTTTTACACCCACCTGTGTCTGAAGAYGGCCCCCATGCTCTGCCAGGGTTCCCCTTCCGAGTCCAAAGTGGCAGCAGGAGAAGGAAGGGAGGRATCCTGCTGCCTTCTAATAATCCCTGTTGAGCAGACAGGTCCGCCACACCTACAGGACCTGCCCAGTCACATGATGGCCTCTGCACKCCTGGCTTTACAGCGCCGGAGCCGTGTGAGCACAAACCTGGCAAAACTGCTCTGAAGAATAAGAGCTGCTCCTCGGAGACGCATTAATGCTAAAAGTATAAACGACTGAAGYTGTTCAAGCTGCTAATCCTCATAATCTAATCCTCTGATCGGCTGTTTGTTTGTAACGCTGTAGAACAGAAACACAAAGAAATCTGCCTCGTTCCCACCTCAACAATCAAACAAACATCACATCTGACAAACCAATAAAAGAAAAAAATAGGTAATTTTGGAATCTTATGGCAACAACGCATCTAAAAGAAAGGCTGTAAAAGTGAGTGATACGAATAAGAAAACAGATAGAGGAGCATTTTACCGCTGATGAAGTCTATATTTTTAATCAGTGGATTATTTTAGGGTGAGTTCACACCGGACACATTTGGTCCGCTTTAAACGGTCCAGAGTTCMCGTCCTCCGTTGTTCTGGACCTTCTATGCAGGTGTGAACCCTGGTGCGTACCAAACAACCAGAACGGGACCGACTTTGGTGCGGTTCGCTTCTGAGGTGAAACAAACCGGCCTCAGCCTGAACCAACTGCAGGAAACGTGCACCTTTATAGGCTGTGTCCAAAACAGCAGGACGGGTCCTCCGAAG